GCACTTGAGCATGCTGGGTTCAGGGTTTAGGGTTTAGGGTTTAGGGTTTAGGGTTTAGGGTTTGGGGTTCAGGGTTTAGGGTTCAGGGTGGGTGGCCGCACAGACTTCGCCAAGGTCCTTCTGTGCCACGTCCCCCAGTCGACCGAGGCATTCCATGCTGGGCGCGGCAGCCTGAAAAAGTGCTTGGGCTGCTTGGAACGCTCAACGGCACTCACTCACTCACTCGCCGCAAACCCCTAAAGTCCCCGCAATCTAGGATTAACAAGCAGATTACGCACAATCTGCTTGTCAGACGTCAAACCATACAACGTTTTGAGAGACTCAGGAAGTGTGTTGCTGGCACATCAGGCAGCATGGCATTCTACATGATGATCCATGATGAGTTCTGAGTTATGAGCGGAATCCAACCACATCCCTTCCCAGCATTCCGTCCTCTGCTGCCTCTTCCTTGTTCTCTTTCGGCAGTTGGTTACGCCACCTGCACTAGCTCTCGAAATGAAAATGACACACAAGATACGACAACATGTCCCCACCACGGGCTGGCTGATCTCACTCCGGAGCCGCCTGTCCACTACTGCCGCAACAGCGCTTCCAAGGTGCGCGTCCTGGCTACGGTCGTCGAAGACAACCTGGATGAACTGCTCAACTGCTAGGCCCAGGCCCAAGTTCACAGCTTCACTGTCTCTTGTAAAGTTGAAGCTGCCAGCTGCTGAGGCTGGGGCTTCCAACTGCGACAGCAGGTCCGCTGCCATGGAGCTCACCTCAGTTCCGCTTTCGCAGATCTCCGATGAGAGCTTGGTGAAGCAACTGCCAATACAAGGCTTCCCTGATGATTGCGGTAAAGCAGGACTAACAGTAAAGTAAAGAAACCCGCAAAGCACCGCGGGCTGCAGCCAGGTTTCCCAGTCCGTCCGCTGCTCGGAGGCGGCCAAAGCAGCCAAGAGTTCCTCCTGTCAGGCTGCGATATGTGCCATCAGAGACCGGTGAGGCACGTGCCGCAAAGTCCTTCCTATCGCGTTCGTGCTCTGATGGGCGCATCCCGCAAGCACATCCAACACAAACCTCAGTCCTTGGGAGGCTCTTTGGGTGGCTTTGCCGGCTCCGGTTCAGACACCGGAGGGGCTGCCTGTTCCTGGATGCATGACAGCTGCAACATGTTGCAAATCTGACGAATCAGGCCAGAATCTCTTTTGTGCCTGCATCCTCAATAAAGAAGCAGCTTAAAGCCAAATGTCTGGGTGTCACAGATATTTCCGGGCGGTGCCTGAATCAATTGCAAGGCCGGTTTCCTGGGGTCTCCAGCGTTTGCTCTGTGACAACAATCTACAACAACCCAAAAGCCACAAATAACACACAAGGGTGCAATTAATGAAGCGGCCGCCAGCGACAAGAACTGCCAAGCGAGCACACCCGGCACAAACCAGTAAGGCTCCGAAGGATGACAAGAGAATACAAGAGACCACCCAGTACCAAAACAAAAAAACCCATTAACGCCAAACATGCTGAGGATCTAAGAGGTGACGGCACAGGGCCACAGAGACTTGTGTGGTGAGCAGATATGATTGTCAGGAGCCATCCCCAAAGGAAGGCAGCATGCAGCTGCCTCCTCCTCTTCCTCCTCCTGCGCAGGCTCCTCAGAGCCCTCGACGCGCAGCTCCCGGAGCTTCTGGCGAAGTTCCTGCTTTACTCTGGGGCCGGGGCTTGGGGTTGAAGATTTGAAGATGGCTTCTGATAGCTTGAGGCTCAAGGCACGGGAACGGCACGTTGCTGAAAAGTAGCCACGGCTGCCAACGCAAGTAAAATCGGGAACCCTTAGTGCTGCAACTTTCTGGATGACAGCAACAAGACGATAGCCGTTATCAGGCTTTTCCTGGAAAGCGTTGTCTTACTGGGGGACTCCGTGTGGAAGAGCAGTGGGGGGAGGGGATTAGCAGATTCTTCAATCGCATTCTGGCTGCATGGCACAAGCAAGGAGAGGTGCCATGCTGTATGGATCTGTCAGCTGGCAGCAAAGCAGAGAGAAAAGCGTGAGGGCCAACTATGCCCTGACCCTGCCCACCAAACCCCAAGGCAAGCAACCTGCTCCAGGCTGCCACAGCTACTACGACTATCATTGGACTCAACGTACCAGAATACTTCTGCACTTGCACACCTAGCAGCCCTAGCATGAAGCTTCTTTCAAGCTCCCTGATTTGGAGTGTCCTGTAGCTCCTCATTCTTCTGGCTACCTTCGACCAGGCACTCCTTGGCACTAAGGCACTAGATTCACCAGGTTGCCGGTTGCCCGGCTTCGCTGCGTGTTGTCGGGGGTCTGACGCCATCGTATCGATTAAACAAAGTGCTGACTCAGTCTCCGCTCTGCCGAATGACTGACTGGTCAATCAGACTGCAGCAAGACAAAGCTCCTTTTCCCCGGTCTGCCTACCACCGCACTGGCTCTGTCCGCAATGTGCAGCAACAGACACGTGAGATTGCACGCTTGAGACCTGGTCGCTTGCTCTTCCGCTCTGTCCAACGACCCCTCGACCCCTGACGATCGGTCTCTCCACCCTCCATTGGCAGCACCAAGCACCGGTGCGAGCACAATGGGCATGCTGGACATGTGAGACATTCACCGTGCTGGAATGAGGAAGATGACGTTATGTACAGGCTGCCCTCCGGCAGAAACTAAACCAACACTTCTTTTGCACAGGGTCTCTTTTCAAACCAAGCGGTGAGGATGCTGGACGTGTTGAGCAGCGGCTTGAAGAGCTTGGGTTCCGGACGCTTTCCCAGAATCTGCGACAGCCGGCTAAGAATCGGATCTGTGTCGAAGTCACAGAAAACCAGATCATAGGAAGAGGATGCGAGGGGAATGCTTGAATTGACGTAAGGAGGCAAGGCATATGTCCATCGCTGGTTCAACTCAGCGAGAAGCTTCTGCAGAATGGCGCCACCCAAGCCCTCCAACTTCAGCCAAAAGTTGGCGTATGGAGAGGCAGTGTAGACGTCATCGATGTGGACGGGTCCGGGGAAGATGTCGTAGCTAAGCGCGCCCGTCCCAACGATCGCGATTTGAGTTTGTGGGGAGTCTAGCAGCGTGTTGGGGATCACCTGGCTCATATAGAACGTCCACCTGGCTGCCGTTTGTTGACTGCCCTCACCCACAAGTATCTTCTGAACCGTGGCCTAGTACGTCTAGCGTTGTCTCTCTGCAAATGAGGAACAACTCTGCATCGGGAGGCACTGCTTTAATGGCAAGCGCATGCTCTCCACAGTCTCGGGACTCTCGGGAAGCAATTTCGTCCAAGCCGCAAAGAGCTGTTCCCCAATGGGACAAGCAAACGATATCTCTGCGTGGAGCATCCGAGCGCGCGATCCTTGGGGTGAGCAAGGGTGGAGCAAGGTACACACACGTGCACAAGCCTTCAGTTGAAGGAGCCACCATTATGGCCACTTGCTTCATTCACCGAGCGCACCCGCAAACAACAGAACTACATAGCATTGCAGGGCACATATTAACATATTATGTTCAAGTATCGCTGCCAGCAGTCTTGCGTGCAGTGCGTATGGCCTGAGCAGTCACCGCACCCGAGGCAGTGGAAAGGTTCGACGCGCTGCGATTCACTGCACCTCGTGGGGGCGGCGGGCAGATGCAATCTTGGACTCAGCAACTACATAATACATGATATACAATGTATGTTTGAACAACACAAAATAAAGAATATGAGATACAAGATAATGCCATATTACAGTAATAACTGTGGAACAACTTCCGAGCCCGACCTGCAAGGTGCTGAATGCTGCCCGAGATGTTGACGTGGTCAAAGCGCAGCCCGTCAGCTTCATGAGAGTAGGACAGAAAGCCCACCTCGGCGGGAGGGGCTAGGTCAGGGGAGTCGCGGTCAACAACCCTCTTTGAATTCGTCATCCTAGATCTTCAGAAGCCTGGGTCGCCTACTAATTAAACTTCCTTGAAGACACTGCCCGGCTCGAGCCGCATGCTGCCATGCAAAGCACTAGAGCTATGAGCAGCACTCTGCCAAGTCGCCGTGTCCAGCTTGCATCCTGCTTCATAGACCTTATGACAAGGCAAGGGAGCAAGTATAATTCTAGCGCAGCTCGCTTTGCTCTTGCGACCCTTGCCCAGGCTAAGAGCCGTTTCGCCTGAGCAAAGGCCTTGATGAGTCTTACATGGCTGTAGCTTTGCCAGAAGCTTTATGAGTCGCGCGACACTGCGTAAGGCATCCGTTCTCTTGAAATTATAACTCTCTGCCAAGTGTCGGATGCATACTTGTCGAGCTGCCTGCTTCGAAGTCGAAGAGGTTTCGACTAGTGACTGATTTCTACATGACATGTTCAGCACATCGTTACAAAGCATCAACCGCCGGCAGCCGCACCTGTAACCGCGCCTGTGCGAGTGACCGGCCAGAATCTGCAGTGGCTTTGTGGATCCCATGCCCTCACGGACAGCAGCCCAAATCTTGTCAACCAGGGGGTCGCGGTAGTCCATGTGAGCCAAGACCACCACCCCATCGCTCAGGCCGGCATGCTCCTGGGTACACCAAATTTCCAAACTCGTGAACGCACAGGCAGAGGGGCAACGTTTTCCCATGCTCACGAGCCTTGAGGGCTTCTTTGAACCACTCGGACGCCAGTGTTTCCTCGACGTCCAGAACTTCAACAGCATCGCAGTGATCTTCCATGTTGTATAGGAAGCCGAAGGTCAGCAGCTTCGTGCCAAACTTCCCTTCCACGAGGGCATATCGGTTTCCAACAGGCTGGAGTGTTGATGACCACACCACATTCGAGGTCAGGTATCCTTGGCTGCATTGCAGCTATACTATACGTAGGCACCGGAGCCCTATAAACTACGAGTATCGACAGTCTCTGTTTTTCGCACCTGTTACGCTGAATTGTCGTCACGGGAAGTTGACTCATGTGGGCAGCGACCCCACTGGCGCCCCAAATCCTCAGGAAGCCAAAATGGGCCCAAATACCTCTTGCAGCCAGAGGCACGGCCCTTCCAGGAGGCAATGTAGCCCGACTCCTTGAGGCCAACCACTGGGCATGCAGGGCCCTCCACCTGAGCCCAGCTCACAAAGCCATAGCACTCCATAGCATCTAGCCATAGCACTCCATATAGCACTCAAATGCACGAAAATATTCTCTCTGTTGCCGTGCCACCATGCCGTGGCCATCTCGTTGATACAGCTCGTGATTGCCAAGATTAAGAGCATCGTAGCGCGCTGTCTGCAATACAGGGGACAAGAATGCCACGTGATCCGGGGCAGTTGCTGAAAGACCCGTTCCATCGTTGATGTCTCCGTTATCGAAGAAGAACACATCTCGATGTTCTGCATGGGCTGCACTCCGAAGATGGTCCAACACCGAGACCACATGAGCCAAGGACGCGTTCAAGGGCGCATCGTGGCTGCGCCCTTCGATCCAGGAGTGCAGGTCTGTAGTGACGAGCATATTGACATCCCCCAACTTGATGGTTGATAGTGGCTCTGGGCAAGCTTCGGCATAGTCATCGCAGCAGTCATCAAAGCTGAAGCAGGATGGGTTGCAAAAGCACGTTGCAGTTGGATCGTGGCCGCCACAGCCGATTGTCTTGCAACTAGACGAAGAGCTTCCACCTTCCCTGAAAAAGAACAAGGCCCCCAGGCATATCCAGTGGCGGAGCATTGCTCACTCTGTCTTTGGGCCGAGATACTTCGCATGAGCTTGGCTTGGGTATGTGTAGCCATCAGACATGCACTGGCACTTTGCGAAGCGCAAGCGACGCTGTCAACCTGGCCTGAAAGGAATGTATGTGACTCGGCATGAAACCCCTTACACATCCTTACACCCCAAGCCCTCTGAGCACAGACTTCCTCCCATCTCAGCCAAAGCTCATGAGCCTTGAGCAGGAGCCTGGGTTGGCATTTAACGGCTTGAGTGCAAGTTAAAGCTGCCTAGTCAATCAGGTTTGCTTGTATCTATTCCTCCATGCCTCTATGCTTCTGAAACCGCATCCAACATCTGCCAGGAGAAAGAATGGGTTGTCGGTTCAACAGATTTCCTTGCCAGGATGCTCCCTGGAGCTACCCTCCACCTCCAGCGCCACCTCTTCGGCGTCCGCAGGCGGCTCCTCACTTCAACAATCCCCGTCAAGTTCGGGATGTCTTGAAAAACAAAAAGTAGTTTACAGTGGAGAGATGTCTGTAGGTTTTTAAGGGGTTCGGCTTTAAAATTTGGGGGGCGATAAGTTCATGTTTAGGGTGGGGGGGGGAGCTGAGGAGCTGAAAAGACTTGAAGAGATCATGTTCGTGGTCAAGCCTGACGCTTCCGCCGCTGCCGCCGCTGTAGCAGAAGCCGCTGCCGATCCTGGAAGAAAAAAAGGTATTGTCAGGAATTGCATGTTCCAATCTGTGTGAAACCGGGTGACAACTTTCTCAGGTCTCCTCTTCCTCTCCTCGGAGCTCCAGCAAGCGAGCCTGGCAGGAGTACTGCAAGACCCTGACCACTCTCCAAACAGGTTCAAGGAATAAAGGGTTCAATGCGACTTCAAGTGCTCGAACAACCCGCCGATCGGCAGGGTTCGGTCGCTTAGACTCCCAAGAAACGGGAGGTTCAAACTCGCGCGCCGATGCACCTTCATTTCCTCGCACTGTTGCTTGGCAGCGCTGGTGTCTACAGTCATATCGCCCTTGGTGTTCTGGCGCTTCCTTGGCTGCCGTCCAGTGAGAAAGTTAAGGTGCCCAATTCACACCCTTTTAAGCTGCTTTCCAAACGGACGTTGCAGCACCATACGAGGTTGGCACTGTCTTCATGATGGGCCAGGTGCGGCACATTCAGATGCAGTCAGGAGGCAAGCGCGATGGACTCAACCCTGGCAGGTCGGCTACCGTTCGGCCTCCTGCCTGGCGGATGGAGTGTGCAACGCCATTCACATATCAAGGAGGTCTTAGTGCGGTCGGCTCGTTCAAAGGTCCGCTGCGATCTTTGGAAAACGGGACTGACATCTAACGAGCTGCACATACTACGTATATGGTACCCCGCCCATGTGCCCACCTCTCTGTTTGTCTTCTTCCTGCAGGTCTCGATTGTTCTTGAAAACGTTGTTTTTTGGGACAGTACATAGGCATCTCTCTTTAAAACATTGTTTTCTCTTGGGACGGTACAGCACTTTTGAGGCCTGGGATTGCAAAAACGCTGTGCTGTCCCAGAGCAACAAATCTTTTTAAGCAAAAACAAGCCAAAAAAAAGCTGTACTGTCCCAGCAAAAACCAAAAAAACTTTTGAGACCTCCAGGCCATTTAGCGCCCCGAGGTCTCTCAAGATTTGTTTCAATTTGCTTTTTGGGACAGTACAGAAGACATTTTTTTGGGGATAGTACAGCGTTTTTGCAGTCCCAGGCCCCCAAAATCTTGCACTGTCCAAAAAAACTCCCCAATCTCTTTAATTTAAGCAAGAACAAGCAAAAAAACCGTACTGTACCAACCCCCCCCCCCCACCCCGCCCCGGCAAAAAAAAAGCAACATCTTCGCCATTTAGTGCCCCGAGGTCTCTAAAGATAGTTATTCCCTCAAGTTCAAACTGAAAATGGCTTCATGGGTTGTCAGCGTGTTTGCTTCTTTTTGCTCAAAAAGATGGTTGTTTCTTTGTGACAGTACCCAAAAACCAACAACAACACCAATCCAACTAGACACCCAACCCTGTCGGTTCAATACACTCAGATTTAGGCATAGATGTCGAGGTAGACAGCTCTCTGTACCAATGTCCTCTTCGTCAGCGAGCCGCTCGGCCATCTTGGAGGCTGCAGCCTGCATCTGCATGAACTGTAACCTACTATATATATAAATGTATATACATATCTATATATATATATATATATACATATACAAATACATATACGTATACATATACATATACATATATATATATATACAAATATAAATATATAAATATATATATATATATTGCATTTGTTTCAATGTACCATCGCCTGGAGCTCTTCGAGTCCGACGAGCTGACGCCAGGCTTCAATCTCGTCCATGGCTTCGGAATCTTTTTGCATCACCTCAGCTGAAGTCCAGTCTGCCAATAGCCTGCCTGTGCTTGCAGAATGCTGGGGCTTAGGCCTCGCTGAGAGATTTCTCCTGCTCTTGGAGGCCTGAACATGTTGAAAGTTTCGGCACCAGTGGCTCAGCATGTGATGGACCAAAATTGCGAGCATCATTGGTGTTGGCAGCACGCAGCACTGTTCGCTGGCGAAACCAAACAAGCTGCAAAGTCTGCTGTCCCAAAGCTTCTTCAAGGTCTCTCTCTTACTTCCCTCCCAAGCCATCCCGATGCTGAGTGGCATCACTACAAAATGAGGGGCATCCCTAACTGCACACGGCTTTTCGTTTAACAATGCGGGACCTTGTTCCTGACTAAAAATAGCAGGCTCAGCAGTAGCAGGCCAACCAATAGTTGCTGATTGTGTACGTCACATTGGAGAGCACCGCACTTTGTGGGCAAATGCCGGGTGTTGCGGGCGTGGCGCTGCCTACAAGCGAAGGACCTGTAGTATCAAACTGCGCTCACTGCAACCCGATTCTGTCCTGGCCTTCGCAATGCTCAGCCGCCAAAGCTCCGAATTCCGCACCCGATGCTGCAATCCTGGGGACAGCCCGGCTGTTGCAGCTTGGAAGCTCGGGTGGTGTACAGGGGCTCGGAAGCTGGAGGGGTGTACAGGGATTTTGGTGACAGGTAGTCGGTAGGGGGTATTCTTTCCCAACTCCACGACCGATCCGCAACCATAAGGACAGCCCAGCAGCTGCTCGAGTTCTTCCTTCACAGCCTCCACAAGTTGGACGAAATAGGTCAGGATTGGAGGCTGCGTGTCTAGGGTTTGAGGTGCGAGCGACCCCCATTCCCTTTACCAGACTATACCTATATACGCGTTTTACGAACAGAGGTGCCAAACACAGTGCCGTACTCACCCCATCAGATCCCATCAGTCTAAGCACAAACAACAAGAAATAGCAGCGCCAGAGCCTCCTCAGCTTTTCCCCGTTTGCGCCTCGGCCGAAGGCCGAGCCGCTGCCGCTCGGCGTCCTCATCAAGGAGTCTACACAGGAAGGGGGTAGGACTTGGGGTTTATTGAGGGCTTGGGGTTGAGGGATGTTGAGGATGTAGCAACAGGACATAACAGGCCGTGAAAGCAAGGAATTCCACCTTGAGGGCGACTGCTCCGCGCTGTGCCGTCACTGCACTCGCATTCACAGGGGTCCTCTGACAGCTGCGCCAAACCTAAGAGACATTGCAAGGTGAGTGCATCGATAACCCGGTTGTGAGGGAGAAATTTTCGTGGCTGGCACACTGACAAGTTGCCATTGCATCTTCTTTGGCGGACGAGTAGCGTCTGCGGGCTTCGGCCACCGCTTCCGAAGTATCCACCTTGACACGCAGCTGCACCATCATAGGGTGTCATAAAAGTGGGAGCTCACAAAAAAATCTAGGATCGTCGAGCGTCGCAAGAACGGCCATTGCTATTGGTGTGTATCGCCACTGGGCTTAGGCCCCTCGTCCCACCCCCCTCCCCCGCAGCCACACCTTCAGAGCATTGCCCATTAACAGAAGATGGCAGAAGCCCTGTCTCATGACAGCAGTCCGAAGTCCTATGCGTTCAGCCTTCGGTAAACTCTGAAAAACATACAGATTTCCCATGAGTCTTGATCCCCTGTCGCCTCAGAGCAAACACCCTGCTGTGAGTGCATACTCCAGCCACCCTAAAAGGACATTTTGGACTTAGCAAGTGCCTAATTCGCCGGGAGCTTGCAGCTGCAACAAGGCTGAGCATCCGTAAAACACTTGGACCACGACAGCCTCGCTTCGGTCGAGCTGCCTCTGTGAGCAGGACTATATACATATATATGTATATTTATTTATGTATTCATGCTTATAATATATATATATATATGTATTTATTCATATTTATTTATATTTATTTATTTTTCATATTCATATTCATATTTATATTTATATTCATATTTATGTTTATATTTATTCATATTTATTTATATAATTTTATATATGAAGTGGGCTTAGCTTGGGGTGCAGTCAGTACCAGCTGCTGGGGTGGCCGAAGTTTAACACTGCGCTTCAAGCCCAGCCCAAACACAAGTGTTGCATGAGCTGCCTATACTGCTGTGGATACAGCCACCTCCCTTCGTAGTTGTCAGTGAACTGCGCCTGCGCTTGTTCTTGACGCCCTCAGAGTGCTGCTGCTCCTGCTCATGGCACCATTGCATTCCAAAAAGAGCCAGAACGTCCCGGTCTTTGCCAGCCGCAGCTCCTCTCCAGTGGGCGCCTGGATCGTGATTTGGATAGTCAGCTGCTCCAGGCTCTCGGTCAGCTTGCCACGCCACCTAAACTCTAAGACTCTAAGTGTGTTGCGGGACATTGTGACAGTCTAGGAAAAGGCGGAACACCAAGCTGCAGAAAGCTAATGTGCACACACATTTGCATCTGTGCCCGCTGCATGCAAGTGCGTGCGCACTCCCGTACATCCACCGCAGCCCCCTTTACAGGCGCAGCAAGGACTGGATGAGTCATGCGACTTTACACCAGACGATGCCACTTCAAGACTCAAGGCAACTCGAAGCACTCCCTATGTCTCTGCTGCCACTTTGTGCTGAATCAGCTATTAAACCATG